TCTTCAATCCTGGGCAATTTAGTTTCAGCAGCAAAGTTGCAAGCACCTTGCTCCACAAAAGCCTTGCCTGGAGCTCTGGGCCACTCTCCTTAAAAAGCAGACAAGAAAACTTGCATCTTGAAGTCTACCCCATAATCCAAGTAATGAATCAAAGTTTTCCTTTCAACCACATACCCTTTAGAGTGCAGGTTGATCTGGTAGCTGATGCTTGAGCAGTCTTTGGAAATCACCCATTACCTCACCTGCTTCAGTGGATGGTATGTGGGCAATGATTAGACATTAGTTTATTTGAATAGCTCTATATTTTCTGTCCTCATAGGTTATATTTATTTAACCCAAATAATGATCTGGAATAATAGCCTGAAGTTTGTTTGTAAACTAACATTTTGATGTGAAATAATTTCTCAAAGATTTTATCCAGAATGAAAAATTCAAATGAAATAAAGACAATGATGTAATAGTAGTTCTGAACAATATAGTAATTACTTCATAAATAATGAATGTCTTGTAATAAGATTTTACATTTTGAAATGTTTTTCTTGCTGTATTTGTAAGTATACGTATGTGTGCTAAATTTGCCTCAAATTAATTTTATCATGATATCTACAGAAGACAACACTACTAAAATTACAACCAGGTGAGAATATGTAGATATGTAAATATGAAATAGAGAAGAATATTTAAAAATCATAAATAGATTAGGAAATAGAACTTTGGATAATTATCATCTAAGTTTTTAGTTTTGAGTAATTATCATTGTTATCTGTAAAATATTTTAAAATAATACAAAGTATTACACCATAAGGCACTATAAAGTAAACCAAATCCAGGAGCCAGACAAGGAAAATTGCCAACTTATTCCACTTCATATTTCAACAATCATATATTGCTATCTTCAAGAAGCTTTTCCTAGTCCTTATCATCTTATGTCATTATTCCATGTCTTTCCAACTAACCAAGGAGTGGAAGCAGAAATCACCTATCTGCATGCACTCAACCGCTGTCCAATGTCACCAACTAACCCTTCAGACCAAGGTCTTTTTGCTAAGTGTAGTCCTAAATTGGAAATCTACCTCATATATAAATCCAGCCTTTACTCATCACACATCATCTGATCATTCCCTTTTGGAAATTAGTTCATTAATTTGTCATTTTAGTTCTAGTACTGGTACTTATACCAATTTCAACATTTTAAGATTTCTTTTCAGGTTTGTCTTTTCAATTGAAGCTGAGATATTCAAATAGAATTCTTAACTATCTCCAGAGGAAAATGTTTTCTTTTTGCTTGAAACACTACCTAAATATCATTAAGCTGTAATTTTATAATCAATTTTCCATTTACAAGTTTCAAAACTGTGAATTTTAAGTCTGCTCATTCACATGTAGAATGTGTATTATGTTCCTAATTTTCATTGAGCAAAATTAATCAGAAAAATTAAAAGGATGCTTTGATTTTTGCCTCTGAACAAAACTACATAAAAGAGCTCTAATATCTTATCAGAACAAGAAAAGACTATGGAAACATCTAACTTAGCCTAATGTCAACATTAGAATTACAAATGTTCCTTTGCAAAGAGAAATAAGTTCTTCACTTCTGACAACTCAAATATTGTGCAAAAAATATTTCCCTACATCACAAGCAAATAGAGGCATTACTTGACAGAATATAAACTTTTTTCATATATTAGTTCCAAATATAACTGTGGAACTGAATCATTCTTTTTAAGAATGATCCTGATTAGTTTCATAGATTTATTAAATTAGCAAACAAAGATCAATACCTCCATACACATGTCGTATTAGTAAGTCTAAACATACCTGGCTTAATGGATTTTTAAAATTAATTCCCTAATATTTTACCATGTTCAAATTACATTCTAACTGTAATGGTAGGCAAGCCTTCCATGATACGAATGAGGAAGCTGAACTCCTGAGATGAGGTAACCCAGATTCCTATAGTCATAAAGTAAATCAGAGACATAAATTCAATCATAGTAGACTATCAACTTTCTATTAAATACAATTTTTACAGTAGCAAATATACTATCAGCACAATTTTGCCAATTTAAGTTCTTGAGAGATGTACATTGTACAGAAAAAAGTCTTCAATAAAAAAGAGAATTCTGAAGATGAACTTCTTAATATCAAACTTTCATCTCTGCAGGAATATAAGCCATATCTGGAACATCAATATAATAAACAGATGTACATACAATCTATTTATAAAGCTATTAGTGAAACAAGACAGGTTAAAATACATCTCTTGTCACAAGTCAACAAGCTTTCAAACTAATGATAAATTTATTCTGAGCTAAATTTCTTTAAAAAGTCACTTTCAGCAGAAAATCTGCTGAGGAATAGCTATGTCTGGCATTAATTGGAATGAAGATAATATATTCTGCTATTTCAAAATGATGTCAGATAGATTAAAAAAAAACACTGAAGCACAGTTCTAACTCCAAATACATATTTAATGCATTTCTACCTTCATTTACCAAATGAAAAAAAGATTCTGCTTACCCAAAAACATTTTTTCAGTTTATTTTTACTTCTGAATATAAGAAAGGTGATAAAGAAGAAATTACCCACAATTCTAACACCAAAAGACAATGACTATCAACATTTTATTTCCTTCCAGTCTTCTTCCTAAGACTTCTTACAGAGTAAAAACTCTTCTTTGTAACTTAACATACAACACTTGGACATCCTCATTATTAAAAATTCTAACATCATTTCAAAGCACTGTTTATTTTGAAATGAGACTTCTAAGGTTATATGAGGAAATACCAGAAGACCCTGAAGCACACCTGTTAGGCTGGTAAGACTGGCTTAAAAGGAATTCTACCACAGACTTTATTCAGGTCCTTTAGGAAAAAAAATATTTTAAATTAAGGAAATCAAGTCTCACATAACATAATTCTTATTTTCAAATGATGTACACCTAATCAGCTCTTAATTTATCATCTTAGTAAGCTCAAAATTAACATAAACATTTGTTCTTATAATAAGCTTTCTCCCTTTGTAAAACTCCTGCATACTATCGTGTCATTTACATTAAACTGTGAGATAGATATGCATTCTCATATTAGCAACACAGAAAACTGAGGTACAAAGAGATTAAATATTAAGGGATTTAACAAAATTTACCCAATCAATTCAGAAGAATTATAAATCAAGTCTTTTAATTACCAGCATTATTTCTATGTGTTGATGCTTATAGAAAATGATTCGAGAAACATATGCTTAAAATGTTCTGGTTAAAAAATATGATATTAAATGTTTAAAAATGAGGTGATATTGCATGCCTGATTAGACTAGCCTTAAGAAATTTCTAAAAACAAGGCAATCATTTCATTTGAGCGAGAGACATGTAACTGATTCTACACTGTTCCAAGATAATTTTTTCCTCATTCTGAAATAACACTTCTTTTCAGGTTAGGTGAGGAAATACCAGTAGACCCTAAAGTACATGATACAAACACTTTCAGATCCATAAGTAAGCAAAACAGAGTACTCTGCTTATGTAGTCATAGTCCCTTCTGTATTACGGGACTTATATTCTTTATGTCCATTTAATTATGCTTTAACTGGGATAATACCCACCTCAGCTGGTTGTAATGAAGATTAAATGTAATATTCATAAACCACTTAGTTAGTTGTGCCCACCACAAAGTAAGGCTTAATAAGCGTTAGTCACGTATAAGCCTTTCCACTCCTACCCCCCATCCTCGAAGGCTTTTTTAAATTTCCTATGAGGAGAGAAATAACATGCATAGGCTCCAGAACTTTAACAGAAGAATTTCATACTCTGATATATTAAATGCTAATGTTCAATGATTTATTTAAGGAAAAAAAAACCAAAATGCTAAGCATCTCAGTTTTGAGTTACTCTGTATAAAAAAGTGTCTAGATCTAACCAAATACAATTTTTCCTTATAGCTAGAGATTACCTTTCCCCATACCTGTCAAAGTGTCAGCATCTTCTTAATGACAGGCTTATGGACGTGATTCCATACTTTACTGAAAACCATGAGAGCAACATTAAGCTGGACTTAAAGGCAGAAATCAAATTTTTTAAAAACAGAAAATTCCTTTCAGCAATAAGTAACAGTTCAATCCTTATCCTTCTCACTGCAATAAAATGGGAAATGCATTGGAAAAATGTGTCCAATGACTAATACCAAACTGATTCGAAAATCGTGGTACACTGCCGGAAAATAGTACTACAAGGGTTTTTTTTTACAAATCGGCCCTGCATTCTCTTTCCATTATGATGATTATTCAATAAACAGTTTTGCTTGCTTCTAGAATAGGTTTTTCAAGGATTGTAGATGGAAAAAAAGTTTTGTCACTTTCTGGAAAGGCTTACTGTAGAACGCTCCATTTGGACAACTCCATTAGCACATAGCCTTGGGTTAAACCTAGTGTTTGATCCAGGCAGTGTAGACCACCATCCTCAATCACGGAGTGTAAGGAACATGTTCTGAATCCAAGGCTCAGAGATCATCAGAATCCACTCCCTTAGCTTTAGAGCCCGAGTACTTTCACAAAGGATGATAATTATCACTACTTGCCTTCACAGGTTTAAGATGCTATTTAAGGGCCTTGCCTTCCTGCAGTGTCCATCCCTTCATGCAGCTTAACTCTAGGGGTCACATCGCCACATGTTCTCTTTATCCTCCCCCCAGATCTTCCCCAGAATAAGGATCTAACATCCGCGAGGCTTTCACAGCAGGGGCTCACTCCCTCTCGCTTTTCAGAGAAATGAATGGTCCTGCCAGAAAGTAGCGCCGCGCCAACTCGGGGGACGGACGGGCCGGCCGAGCCCACCTCTGCAACTCAGTCCCGCGAGTGCGCAGTGCAGTCTGGCCGCGCGCGAAGGCGCCGCGCACGAAGGCGCCCCGCATCTCCCCCGCGCGTCTGCGGGCTCGTCTGCAGCCGGGAGACCCGACGCCCCGACGGAGGCTCCCCCTGCCGCTGGCTCCCCGGGGACCACTCACCTTGCTGGGCTCCAGCGTCCTCGAGCAGCAGGAGCAGGACAAGCAGGAGCAGGAGGCACAGAGGCATGGAGGAGGCGGCG